AAGAAACAAATATAAATAATGTATATGTATTCATAAGTATGTAAGTATTATATTAGTTAGTTAAAATATAAGGCAGCAGTTGCGGCAGCTACCATCGACTTGGATACCACCTACTCCGATATCATCTAATCCGATATCATCCAAACCGATATCATCTACTCCAATACCGAATTACTTGGGTGCGAGGCCAAATACCCAACGAGGTATGTAGCAAGTTCATGAATCAATTCATTGAACTAATTATTTATTTTTCTGATTTTTTTAATTACAGTCTTTTAGTGTGTTTGTGTGAGTGCTTTCCACTGGAACCCCTTCCAGAATGCAGTGCATCATCACCTGACTTGGTATGGACATTTGGAAACAATAAATTTAATTAAATAATTAATTAATTGTTATGTTTTTATTCAATTGCAGGATTTGGATGCCGATACCTTCTCTGCCCTGGAGTGGCTATCAGAACGCAGTGAATCTAAGACCAATTAGGTTTGTGCTATTTATTTAAATTATTTACTACATTATTTATTTATTTTATTTAATTATTTATTTCGTTGCAGGTCTTTAGTGTGTGTGTGTGCAGCAGAGAAATGGAGCTTCTATGATAGTAGACTTGGATTGAACACAAGGATGCAGTGTATCAACAAACGGGGTATGTACAACTTTATAAAATAATTAATAAAGTTATTAAGTTAAGTTAAGAACAATTTGTGGGGCTGCTCATCATGTAAGCCCAGCTGCGGAACCCTTTGGTCTTCACCATAACTCACCTGTACATAGATCCCGAGATGCCCACGACCAGCTTGAGTCGTTTGAGCTTCTTCTCCGCCCCTGTTATTATTTCCAATATCTATTCACCCTCCAGAAATATCCAATAACGAGTGGTAAAAACGCTTACAGAATTCACTTAAACTGTCCAACTGTAAGGCGCTTAGGGTCCGCCATTCCAGATCCCTCAAGTGTTGCTTTGGTTCACAGGAGCCCCTCCATTGGAAAACAAAGCGATGAAAAGAAGTGAGGACCACCGAGTGAAGGGAAAACTTTGTCGAGTCCTCCACTTGCACACCTAAACACACACACATAGGCAGGAAACCAAAGGCAGGCGGAACCCATAGACAATTTCCGTTTCCTGTTGTAAGATGAACAGCTGCCCCAATGGTGATTCCTTTTCTTCTCGGAGCGCCATTTCCTATTCTTTCTGCCGCTTTTGTTGTTTCAACGGCGTCGGGGTAATAGAGCCAATAAAAATGGTCGCCAATTGCGGTGAAAGTGTGGACCTTTCGGGAGCAACACTTGAAATACTCGAAAGGTTTTAGGAAAAGTGGCGGGCCTAGAAATTAAAGATTTAACTTTTCCCTAAGTGTGTTAAAAGTTTGCTACGACAGATTTTTCTTTTGTATAAATTGAAGTGAATAAGGTAAGCCAAATACAAGGTAAATGTTATTTTTTTAATTTTATTAATCAATTTATTGACTACAAGAAGTCAAATTAAAATATTATTACAATCTTCAACTTTGAATATGCAATTTTTTTAAGAAAAGAAGAAAGAAAGAATAGAATCCATTATAACAATTATTTATATTTCTTTCAAGGAACGTATGCAAAACTCAATGTTCATTTTTTATCCGATTTATACGTAGTGGCCATATGGAAAATCCCATTAAACTCGAACGCTGCTTTGCAAGCAAAAGAAAAGAACCACTGGTAATCATTGGCCATCACCCGTAAGTACTTACCAAATTGAAACTCGTTCACTTACCTTTTCTGCCTAAGCACATATCACGGGGCAAAGTCGGGGCTAAGCAGGACATTAGCCCGGCCACTTAGCCAGGACATTAGTGTCCAGAACCTTGCAGCTCGTACCTCTTTGCTGGCCTGGTCAAACGCTTTGCTGGCTTTTAATGCGTTTAAGCGCATTTACTTTGGCCTGTGCGAGAGCTACTTACTTGGCGTTCAGCTGAATGCCTCGTGGCCTTGCCACCCACTCAGCCAGCCAGCCACCCACTTGTTGCCGTCCTTGGTGGTTGCCTCAAGGGACGCCCACATGTGAGCTGATTATGTTAATGCGCGGACCCGTTTAATCCGATGCGAAGTCAAACAGCATTTGCGGCGCACGGGAATTAAATTAAAGAAAAACAAAAACGTGGCGAAAAAAACTCAAAGTTCAAAGTAAAAAGAACGCAAGTGATTAAATTAAAAGTTGGCTGATTTTATTACGATTTTATGACTTTCACTCGAGAGGTGAAATTACCAACAGGTCAAGCGGGAAATGTGTGTGTAAGTGCGTAAACTCGTTTAACGGCCTTTCCTTTTTCCTCTGCGTTAATAAGGTTGGAAAAAAGGCTGCTCTCTTGAACTCAAAATTTCCCTTTGTCTTTGCATATGCGGTGTAAGACTGGAAAATTATAAAAGTAAAAGGTGTGCTGCCATACGCTAAGATGTAGGAGTTAACTCGATATTAAAATAAGGAAATAAATATTGCTAAGATAAAAAAAATGATTACACTTTAATGGTTTAAAAGATTTTATATTGTAAATCCCAGTTAAACAGTAGCTTAACTCGATTTTACGTGATCATTAAAAAAAAGTATTGTATTAGTAAGTAATTTTCACCAATACAATTAATCAATTCACATAAATCTCTTTGATTTTAAAGGTTTGGCAAAGAACACTATATATAAGAATTAAAAATTCCAATAAAATTAAGTTAGCTTTATTAGAGCTTTCTCTAAAAGTAAAAGGTATTTACCCTTCGTGTAGGCCCATGTATAAATTTTTCCCTTTCGCTTTCCAATTTCTTGGTTTCCGCCGTACCTTTTCCATTGTTTGCTTAAATTCCCACTTCTGGCCTTCTTATCGAGAAGGAAAAGCTTCAGGTTCGTCGAGTTGACCCGCATTTTAAAGCTGCTTAAATGCTTGGCAGACCCCCATTGAAATGAACGAATATTGCGCTGCGGGGGTTGCGCGGATGGAGGGGTTGTGTTTTCGGGGGTCAAATGGGAGGCAATTTGCGGGCGGGCAGCAAACAAAAATTCATTAAAATTTTGCATATTTATAAAACTGGAGTGACCCCCGTTCGTGCCTAGGGGCACTTTTGTTTTTAAAGCGTCTCTCCCTGCCAGAGTTTTCTTGTTTATGCTGCGTAATGTGGCAAGCTTAAGTTTCCTATCCCGAAAAGTATGCAGCGGAAAAACTCAAGCCAAGTGTAAAATATAAGCACCAAAGGGAACGAAGAAGAAGGCAAAGTTTTTAATATGCGGATAGCTTTAATTAAATATGTTTTCCACTCGGCGAACCCAAAACGCCAAGGAAAACAAAAACAAAAAAACACAAGCAAAACATAATGTGTGTGTGTTTGCTTTTTGGTCTTTTTTTTCCTCACTCGAAACATAAACATAAATGTTGGTCGGTGTGGCAAGCAAACAAGCATTTCCCTTCACTTTTCTTTGCTTGTTTTTCTATTTTTTCTGTTATACATTTTTGTTCTGCTATTTAGGCGAAAAAACTTTTGGCTCACGGTTATGCAGTTTTTCATCTGTTTACGCTGGTATTTAACGGTCGTCGGTTCTTAAATTTTAGTTGACTAAGTTTTGGTTAGGGGAATACATTTTGTTAAATTTAGAACATTAAGAAGGGTTGAATTTTGCTTTGTTATGTATTTATATATTATCAGACTTTCATTCAGATTCTTTAGAGCTGCTCTTTAAGTAATTATTTTACGTAATGCAGCCTTCATCCAATCAGACAATGTATCACATGCTTGTAATCTCCGTTCATTATTTTCATTATGGAGTAAATATTCCACTGTTTTAAGGGGAAAAAGGAAAGGTAGCACTCAGCGCATTCTCTGAAAATTTATTTGTAATAAATTTCTGCATTTTATTTTTGTTTTTTTCCTGTAGCCATTGTTATGGGTGATTTCTGGGTTTCTTTTTACACATTTCTTCATTTGCCGCCTACGAGGGGAGTTTAAATAAACATAAAATGGGCGACACTGCCGTGGAAATGCGTCCTTTTTCCTTCTGCCACTTTATTTCTGCCCACATATGAACGTTAAAAAACAACAAATTGACATATCGAGGCCGAAAAATTGTAAAAGCAGGAGACAGAAAATTTGTGTTTCGTTCTCGTGTCTTTTTGTTGTATAAATCGTTGTAAAATTCATCGGATATGAAAATCTAATGATTTGTAAAGGCGTCGATAAGCGGGAAAAGTGTAAAGGGATAGCATACTCGCCGCCGGGTCTTTTGGGACAAGTTTACACTGCCTTACCCCCTTGATTATGGGTTTTTTTTTGGGTAGGCTGGGAAAAGGATTCTCGCCATTTATTGAAATATTAATATTTGTTCACATAAGTGAATGCTGTGGTGTGTGTGGGAAAAACTTTTCACAGCATTACCCTTACACAGTCCTGGAAATTAAAGCCAACCAATGTTTGCCCAAGAAAACTCAGTTGGCTAAAAAGTTCTCCTCGGACCGACCAAAACCAAAAATCAATTCAAAGTTTTTCTTCAGCCTTGGCTACTCCTTTTTGTCCAAGTCGTATTTTTAGATCCCTTTTTTTTTTGGTTTATGGGTCATGTAGTGAACCATCTGGGAATATCTCTGAGCTCTATATCGGATTAAGAGCCATTATCTTTTTTCAGGCTAAATTATACTCAACTCAACTCAGTTGAGAGTGGACGGGAAATTTATTGTGTAAATTGTATTTATTCTAGATTTATAGATACATGTGTCCATGTATAAGTGCGTATAAATTTCTTAGCTCCCTCTTGAGCCGAGATTTCTGGTCTTTCGCACTGGCATTAAAAAATATTTACAGTGTCTAGACTTGCCAGCACATAAATCAAATGCAAGCGAGAATTGCTACAAAAACGAAAAACTTTCTGAAACTGAGTATGTGCTGGATTTTAATGTGCAACGTGTGGCCAAAAAAACTGCAATATCAAATATTCCTGAGCTAAGTTTAACCGCAAATGTATTAAGAGGTTGAAAGTAAAAGAAAACTTTTTATGAAATTAAAGTATTCCAAACAGAAAATTTGTATTTCTCTCAACTCTGGTCTACGACTTGCCATGGAAAATTTTGTAATACATATAATAAAAGTAATAGAATAATATACAACTACACGCCACGTCTCAATCCACTCGGATCTAAAACAAAACGCATGCCGAAGGCAAATCGATCTGTGGGAAGGTTCATCACCACACTGAAACCCATTTGCAGTGGCAAATTCGTTAGATATCTGAAAAAAATGTACAGTGACTTAAGATCATTCTTTTTGGAAAGTGACCATACCCACTTGCTCCACATAAAGCCCACGGATGCATCAGAATCGAACATTCCGTGTACCGCCGAATTCCAGAAGTTCCACTGGTAGCAGATTGTGGCTATCGTCTTTCGGGTACTACGATTCCAGGCCAGGAGATTGGCCATCTGGATTTGGGGATGGATGCGCTGCCAATAGCTGATATCCAGACCCTGTCGCGAAGCGGTAGCAGCCAGGGAATAATTGTAGTGGGAATACCTGGCAAATAAAATATCAATTATCAAGATAAATGCAATAAGAAAAACATAAGAAAATTATATAAAATAAAATATATATAAATATATATTGTTAATTTTTTAAATATGATTTCTAGTTAATTTATTTAAAAAGATGATAAGATCATTAAATGCGATAAAATGAAATTATATTTATTAATATTTATGTATTCAATAATAGTCTGCTTACTGCCCCTTTTATATTCCACTTTTTATATTTTAAATATTTTATTTAAGAAGTAGCTTACCTTGCTGCTAGGGCCAGGTCAGGGGTCACTTTCTGGGGTGCGTTCCACTGCAAAAGGAGCTCTGCTCCGAGGGCCCAATGGGCGGTCACCGACCTCATTACGGAAAGCGTGCAGCGGCCACTTTCACTGCGGACATTGTAAAAGTTGGCGGTCCAAGTGTCACACTGCCGCGTCCACTCGATCGTGTACTGGTTCTCCACCGGATACGCCTCCCTGGCCTTCTGCAGAATGGCCTCCATGCGCAGGGATTGGAAAGGATAATACAGGATGTTCAGGTTGGCCGCCAGTGAAGTGGGATTTATATCGCCCATAATGGTGGGGGTGTACTGAAATAAGTAGATAGTAGTTGAAATATTTCATTTTTATTTTCCTTTTTTAAATCATTCAACTTTTATATCACTTGTAACTCAGCCGGCTTAAGATACTATTAACTTTAACAGAAAATATATGTTAAATTCGAATAAGAAAATATCTAAACGGTTTACAATAATTTAAAAAACTTTAAATAAAATCTTATGTGAAATATTTACATAAAATACTTAAATATTATTATTTAAAATATATTTTCGTACATTTTTAGTGTGTGTAGTACTTTTTTCAAATTTATTACTTCTCTAAGTGTAAATACTGCTGAAAGTCGAACTCACCATGGTGTCGTCTTGGACGCGGAAGGTGTAGAGACCGCCGAAGCGGAATCCGGAGGCCCTGATGTGGCTGAGCACCCAGGAGGCCGTGATGTACTTGTTGGGCGCCAGGCGGTGCAGGTAGTCCAGCTCGATGCCGTCGTAGAACTTGGGCATCACCCGGTGGGCCAAGTAGTGCAGGTTCTGGACATTGCCGGGATTCTTCTTGTTGCAGTGCCCATTGACCCGCTCGAAGCAGTCGGGAAAGAAGACGCCCAATTCCGAGGCCTTGAAGGGTGGACAGCTTTTGCAGGACATTGCGACGTAGGGTGGCTCAAACGGAACGACAAAGTGGAAGAAACGGTAACCAGTGTATTGTGGAATTCGGTATTGATCTTTCGCTGATTCCAGATGGAAACAGTCTGGATTTGTTGGAGGGTTTGAAACTTTAACTGGGAATTGTTGGGTTTTATTTCACTTGCCTTCACCTGGCAACAAGAAACGAAAATGTTACATAGACCCGATGTTCGATCAAATATTAATGATATACGAGTACATCGATGGTTGAGGACGGTTGCGTTACAGACAGTTACAGCGCATTCGAGCAAAAATATCATCAGCTGTCAATTGTCATTTTATGCGCCATTTCGTGGGCTCCTTTTCGATTTCGACAGCCAGCCTTTCCCGCTTTTACTTTGGGCTTGGCACGCCATTAGGCGCATTTCACACTTTTTACATTATTTATATGCCATCGTCTTCTGCCCTTTGGTTTTTATTCTCTTCGTCTGTTGCCGTCGCCTCCTTAGCTCCTTGGCCCCCCATTTCCCCCCTTTCGTTGCCGCCTTCCGCAGGCCATGAAATATTTAAACATTCGAGTCCAAGCCGGCTTTCAAAGGATAATGGTTGATGGTCGCCGCGACGAGGATGCGGATGATGATGATGCATGGAGCCGCGATTCGCATGCGACTGTCCGGGGTTATGGTCCTCATCCCACTTTTTGGTGTTGGTTTTGAGCATGACTCACTGTTTGGATTTATGGAAGGAATAATCTTGGGTGGCAAATTATTGAACCATGTTTTGTAATTTACAATGTAATGATTACATTTGTATTGCACGAAGGCACCCAGAAGAAAAGAATTTAATTTTACAATCAAATTAGTAGAGACCCAACGAATTTAAATTTGTGGTCTGTTAACTGATGAAAATAAACTTAATACTTTGGATAAAAAATTTTTAATACATATGATTTTTTATTTAATTTAAATAGATAACTCAGTGTATATTGATGTCATGAATATGTATACATTTGTACATGTCAATTGAACACACATTTACGCCATTTTAACCCGCAGAAAAAGGTTATGAACAGTGCAATAAAATCTATAAAAATTAAGTATTGAGGTCTATAACTTAAAATATTTTTGAAAATTATGTTGTACATTTTGTTTAACTGAATACATTTTTTAATATTAAAAATCTAATCAAATGTTTTCAGCTAATGCAGTGCTCGCAAAGAGCATTAGTGACAATAGCAATGACGTTTGCCAGATGTCGTCTAAGCCGATTTCCAGTTGGAGTTCATGAAAGCAAATGCAAAAGTTGTTTATTCAGCAGCTCAGTCGCGACTTGGGCTTTTGTACTTTACCCCCGGCCTCTTTATAAGCTAAGCCCTCGCCCTGCCGGCGGTGAAGACATCACTTATTTAGACGCCAGCACTTAAATTTATCACTCAGCCAGCAGCTGGCGGGCTGTCTGGCTTGTTCTACGCCATCACAGCCATTTGCTTTAATTTAATATGCTAAAATATAAGGGGACCCGCCCGCATTCTCAGTTTGCAAATCAAAGCTCAACGCGACCGCAAAACTTTTGCCGGAAAACCGCAAATGCTCAAAGGGAAAGCCGAATTGGTGCGCTCTGTTTGGAATGGGAAATTCAACACGATAATCATGAGTAAATATCACAATTGGCACGAAAAGTACTTGTTGAAGCCTAATTGTAGGGAGTGGCCCAAAAATCATATTGTGGCTTATATATATTAATAATATCATTTTTTTTTTATAAAAGTACATTGTTATAAATACTTTTTCTTGGTTATATTTTTTTCGTTTTATTGTTTTTGCTGAAATGTAAATGTTTTTCTGCATTAACAGTCATTGTTGATCGCATTAAATTTAATTTTATTCAACCTTCACCTACATTGTTATAAAATGTAAAATCCATTAGTACTTATGGCAATCCCTTTTGTTATGACAAAAAACAAACTGTTGCGCCGCAACAAGTACACACTTACCTTTTTAAAAGGTAAACACAATTGACCCAATTGCGGAAAAGTTTTAAAGTTCAGAATGAATTGTTGAATCAGCAATCGGATTTCCACTGCACAGTTATAAACAAACAAAATGTATTTTTAAGAGAAGAGCGTTGTTGAGTGCAATTAAATTTGCAGTTTTTCGGCTCTTTCCATCACATCTTTTTCTCGACCTCTATTAACTTATGAGCTTTTTCCGATAAAGCGCCCAAAAAAGTAGGCAACAAAATGACTGCCCAGCCCCAAGCAAATATTCAAATGAATATAAATTAAAATTGAAATATAAATGATACGCTACAAATGAAAATCCATCGGACAAAGTAAGAGAATACACGAAACAAATATAAAAAATGTCAACATTTAAAATATTTACTGTCCAGCATTGTGGAAATTGTAAAACATCGAAGGAAGAACAAAAAAAAAAAAACAATTCAATCGCATTTCGATGCACAATTTATTTATTTATCTTGTGTTGTCCAGCTTTTTTATTGCGTTCTTTTTGTTTGCATGTGTAAAATGCCTACTATCGTGTTTATTTTTTTAATTGCTCATGGTTTTTATACATTTTGCATATAATTTAATTTTATTTATTACGCCTTGAAAAAACGCTGCCAGAAAAAAAAACACAAACAGCAAAAAGGAGTTGAAGTGGGCAATAAATTTTTAATATTTTAAGCAATTTCAATATTTGGTAGAGAGGGTTGGTGTGAAGGACTGCACTTCTGTAAATTCGTTATCAATAAACGTTATTTGTGTCCATTTAAACTTGTGTGTGCGTTGAAAACCTCAGGGGAATCGAATTGCGATTGTAACAAATTTAACAACAACGGTTCATCTGAAACTTTTTAATACAAATATTTGGAATCTTAAATATCTACAAACACGGAATATAAGTCAAATATTTTTAACATAAAGTGAGTCTAAATCAGTTTGTTTAAAACGTTTTATTATTTAAATGGCATAAATATACATTAAGGTATAATATTTATACATTTTTAAAGTATTCTTGAAAGGAGTTCTTTTTGTATTAAACAAACACACCTCGAGACTGCCTGAGTACAATAAAAATTGAATTGAAATCTCTGCTCACCTCTTGTGAGTTCTCAACTCCTTCGCACTTATTTCAGCTCCATTAAATATTTACAATGGGGCAAACAAATCAAAGTGACAACAAACAGAGGCTTTCCCTCAGCACTTTTACTGATTTTCGCTTTACCAAATATTTGCATTCCTCGCTCGCTTTTCCTCCAGAGATCGACTATATCTATATCCCTTTGACTTGATGTGAAAGAGTTCTCAGACCGAGTCGGTGGCACTTGGGCACGATTTGCATTAAGGACTTGACGGTTTCCCCCTTCGCCATCGAAGTGACTAAAAAGTGTCTTCGACATTTTGCCATCGGCATCCATTATTTTGTAATTATTTAAGTGCCTTCAATGAGGCACCTTATTGATGATGACAGTTGGGTTCTGGGCCCCCAGTCACGCGAAGAAAAACCCATCCACACCCACATTCACACTCGCCTGAAGCGGCGCAGGCAATAAGTGAAAAAAATCAAAAAGCCATAAAAACTTTACACAATCGAAACGTGCAAAAGTTGATTTTTGCCAACGCCAGCAGCCAAAGCTGAAGAAGCGAAAATAAAAAAGGCAGACAACAAAATCAAAGTGAGGCCGGCATGTGAAAGTAAACTTACTTTTTATACGCGTAGACTAAAAGGTATTTTGTATTTGGGGAAAGGTACTGTATCTGAAAAATCAACAGAACTGCAAAATTGTATTGCTCCATATTGCTTTTTGTTGGTAGAGAAATAAGTTTGCATACTCAATATGCAACTGCATGCCAGAAACCATGGAAATCGTAAAAAATTTTCTCTATGGGGTTGTTAATATTCTAAAAGGAAACTTTTATAATGGGTAACTTTTAGTCGGATTCTTTGGTTATATTCTCATTCTTTCTCTACTTTGTGTTGCTTTTGCTGCCTTTCGGAAAGGGATGGGAAGCTAATACGAGGACAGCGGAGGATACAAGGAGTCCAAGCAGGGGATAGGAGAGCCCGGAGTGGACACCAGAATCGACCCATAAAAAACGAGAGGGAATAAAAAGCGCAAGAAAATTACTTTCCGCTCTACAAATTTTTGCAGGGGGAAAAAGACACATTGATGTGAGGGTAATTTGAGTTAAGTGAATTTTCGTGAAGGTATTCAAAATAAAAAAAAATAGAAGAGATCAATTAAAATAAATAAATACTGTATTTAATATTCTCTTGTAATTTATGGTTTCTTTTCATCTTGTTTAAATACACCATAAACATCCTTTGTTCTGTTTAATACTTTTTTGCACAGTTTTGTTGGGTATATATTATTATATTCTATTTTTATATTTCCAATGTATTGACCTAATTTATCAAGTACTTCTGCCTCACTGTGCCACATCGAAGTCACCAATCGGGGCCATCCACAAAGTCAAGCGTGTAAAGTAAGTAAAGATGCAAGTAAAAACCTTTTCCGCCTTTTCGGCTTTGCTATCGGCCCTTTTGAGGCATTATGTACTGACAATTTTCATGATTATGCGCTTACGGATTTCGAGAGCGTCCAGCTCCCTTCCTTTCCCCTTCCCTTCCCCTTTTCCCCTTCCCCTTTTCCCCTTCCCCTTTCCCCATCATCATCATTTCTGAGTGTCCGGGTGAGCGCAGCTGTTAAGCCTTTTCCGTTTCCGTTGTCGTTTATTTTTTTGCTGGCTCTTTTTCTAGTTCATGACTTGACTTTGGCGCTCAGCTAAGTATTGATAGTACTGGATACCATCGACAGCGGATTGGGGCTGAAAGCAGAGGTTTCCTGGTTATGGCCATCAAAACGGAAATGAAGATGGGGATTCCATTCAATTGGCTTTTTGAGGACGCCAAGTCCACGAGTGTGTGTGTGCTGAATGGGATGTGAAAAGTGTTGGCAATTGTTGCTAGCTAGACATTTTACGGGTAATTATCGAAAATGTTGCCCCGATTCCACCGATGGTTGATGATTGAATATCCATTGAAAAAAAGAAAGTTCCCTAAAAGTCAATAATGGATTAAAGATAAGGTAAAATGGGTGAGCACTCAATATATGAGAAAAAGATGTGAGGGAAGATTATGTTAAGTATATTGAGGTTTCTTTTAAAGATTATCCGAAAATGTGAAAGGCATTGATGAAAGGCGAAAATAAAAAATTACATTTGGAAAAGTAGCTTAGTCTTCGAAAGGGATAAAGCTGCAAGCATTAAGTTTCCGAAACGAATTATTTGTATATATTTACTCTAACAATTCCTTTTTTCAAGTTTAATCAATGTTGACTTTATCTTCAGCTTTCATTAGCCAAACGGAATTTATATCCAATCCCGAAATTCAATTACGGCCAAGCATTTTGATTACCAACCAATATCGGAGAGGAGGAATCCGCGTTGGGGCACAAATCTTGGCCATAAAATTGTCATAACTGTAAAGTTATTGTGACATTTCCAATAAACGGAAAGGAGGGAAAGCGCCAGCTGTGTCTCCGCCGGAGGTGGAGCAAAACTCCTGTCTGCCGTTGGTTAATTTACTACAATTCGCCCAATATGCAACATAAATAATGCCGAGCATCCGACATAAATAACCGTCGATGCTAAAACTGCCGAGAGAAGATGGGGCGGTGGGTCGGTTAAGCAGCTGCTGCTGCAGTCAATTTCAGCGTTCGTCTGTAACCGTAACAATTAATTAGAAACTAACAAAGTTCCACTTGGCAGGCGCTAAACTTGTCCCAGAACTCGGAGATCCAGGAACCAGGAATCCGGGACCCTGGCGAACCGAATCGAATCGAAACGAAATGAATCGAAGGCGACAGTCGAGTCGCAAACGAAAACGAAGACTGTCGCGCACATAAAGCGCTTTTAATTGATTTTCCTGCTACGTGCGCTGGAGAATCGGAATTGTCGCTTTTGGTCCCCAGGAAGTGTAGCTGTGCCCCATCCTGCTGTCGTCTGTAATCGTTCATTCATTCATTCGAATTGTAGTTAATTAATAAATTATTCCGAGCGATTGAACTAACAATGTTGGACTGTGAAAACTTTCACTGGCAGCTTTAATTACCTTTTGGTCCGAGTACTTTCCACTTTGTTTAGCCTGTCTCTCGTTTTCTTTTATGTAGTCTCTTTTTTCATTTCATTCCTCTTTTTTTTGTCTGTTTGCTACAATTAAACACGTTTTATTTGCGAATGTTTATGGTGCCTGCATGATGCGTATACGCAATGTGTTTGCTCTGCTGCTTGCATGTTGCGTATACGCACGGTATGCCGTCCAGCCACCACAGACTCGTAAATGCTGTGTGGCCCATTCGAGCGTACACATTTCTTTTTAAAGATGCGACCGGAGAATAAACGTTTAACCTTACCTTTGCCACTGGCTTTCTCCTCGCCTTCTATCTAATTTCGTTTTATTTAATGTCCGGCAAGTGAACAAATTCCTGGGCACAGCTGCTTTGAAAATATCGGAAAATTTATTACAAGACAAATTCATTTCATCCAATTTTAATTTGAGGCTTAGGTGTATCCTTCTGTTTTTAGCATACAATATTTTTAAACTCAGTAGTGAATTAGGGGATTCTTTAGAATTTAGTTTTAGTTTTATTATTATTTCCAGTACTGTAAAATTAGCAAAAATTTTTCATAGAAATATTTCTTGACTTACCATTGAAATTTGACATCAGAAAAAGCCAGACATATAAATCTCCTCTTGCGTACGATATATTTGTACTTGCAAGCATATTGCAGCTTTCATTTGTGCAAAATCCATAAATCCAAAAGGCAGCCGAATGGTAAATACAATTTTCATAAAAAATAATTAAATAAACATGAGCACACACACACACAGCAAGAAGGACAAGGATCCAGAAAGGCCAGAAACCAAGAGGCATTAGTAGCAGATTACTGACAGGAGAAGGAAAAAGGACGAGGAGAAGGAGGAGGATTGAGTTCAAGCTTGCAACTTGCATCTCGAAATCCAACTCTGGCCCAAAGAGTCATTAGCAATGTGACCCAGAAACGGACTAACCACATAAAATTTTATGCTGTTTGCCATAATAAATTTAATTAAAAAATCAAATTGACTGAGACAGAAAAGTCGGAGACCAACCAGTACCAACCAGTACCAACCAGCATCCACTTGAACATTAGCCCCAGTCGCAGTCCGAGTCGCAATTTGTTGCCTATGAATGTGCTGAGTAATATTTGGGTCAACTTCTGCCGGTCGACATTTGCCTTAATGGCCTGCAGAAGACTCCAAACGAGCACCAGCCAGTCAGATGGAATTATCAGACTTTACAAAATTGCTTTCGGACATCTGAAGTGCATTTTATGGAAGGCCTAAAGGCAAAATGAATGGCAGAAGAAATAAAACTCAAGCTAAATGTGTCCAGCTCACCTTGAGAAAGTCGAAAGTTGCGAGAGAGAAAGTTAGAAAAAAAGTTCATTTTTTCAATTTATTTTTCGCATTGGCTTTCCCTGGCTGCTTCCCATCCTTTATCAATTTGTTGGAGTTTTTTCTTTTATGAGCTGCCAGTTAATTAGAAAATAAGAGAGCGAAAGGGAGAAAAATCTGCGCGGCTAATCAGTTGAATGTTGTGAAAACAGCCAACTCAAAGGTGTTCGAAGCGGAAATGAGGTAATACAGGAAGGGAGTTGACTTTGGCTCTAGAAATACCAATTGATTTTCATCTAAATGGTATCAAAGATGTGAAGATTATTAGGTGAATTGGCTGAACTTAAATTCTTTAACATAAACCACTTTATTTAGTGTTCACTTAAGTTATGCTTACAATTTTTTGGTTTGATATTCAATCATTAGTTTTTGCAGGCAACTTAATATTTTGTAGGGATTCCCACATATTTTTATTTCCCAAATTTTTTGTAGAAAATTGAAGTAGGAAAATATTTTTAAATATAATTTTATTAAAGCCAGATTTCAACCATAAATAATTTAGTTAACTATACATAATTTAGCCAAAGTGGTTCTAAAGAAGCGTTCGCATTTTATCCAAAAAATCATCAATGAATAGAGATTCTAATCTGTTTAATTGTCTCGCCTGGTTAACACTATCTTCGAAATTAGCCTCATCGTTCAGGCGTTTATAGGCCGCCGCTCGATAAAGCCAAGCTCGGATATAGCTTTTGTCCAGATATGTGAGCACATAGTCACAGTCCATAACACCTAGCCTAAATTCCCGCAACCTGTTGAAAATAATGATTACCTCTTACTGTTTAAGCACACTTGAACCAAAAGGACTCACTTTATATGGCAAATGGCTCGATTTACGTACAAGACTGGCGTGTCTTTTATATATTGAATGCCTTTTGTATAGTGGTCTTTGGCCAAACCAAAGTTTAACTTGCGGTACTCGTGATTTCCAAGCCGTCGAAATGATTCGGCCACAATTTCTCGCTCTTCTCTGGCCAAAACTCGATCCCCAAATTCCGGATCGATTTGGCGCATAAAGGGGAACTGATTCGTGTTAACCACCATTTTTCTGGTTTTATTTCGTCGAAATGAAGAACGGTTTTCATTTACCGTTCGTTCTGATACCAAAAAATGTATATCTGATATGGTCACCGTAGACTTTGCTCGCTTCTTAGAGGCACTATAAAATAATTCAAATTTATCAGATTTTCTATTGGGTTACCAGGAAACTCACTCCGTTTTGTTGGCATTTTCAATCATTTCTAGGCACTCAATAACTTCCTCAACTTTGGACGGCTTCTCAAGGAAGGATTCTTGGGCTTCTGGGTGTTGATATATGGATTCCTCTTGCTTAAGTGTTTCCCAGTTATTTTTTTTGTACTTTTCTTCTTGTTTTTCCCCCATTTTATAGTTTTTTTTTGTTCTTTTTTGTTGTATTTGAGTGTAGTATTGTAAGTTGGTTTTTATTTGGTGTTGTGTGAATCTAATGTACAACAAACTTGACATTAAAAACTTTAACAGATAATTGCATTTTAAAGCATTAAGAAGAAAATGTATCAATGCATACGAAACTGTCTACATAAATAAATCACTTAATTAAATATTCTCAACTGCTGAAAATTTCAGGGAATATATTTTTTAATTTCAATTTAAATTTCAGCTTCTTGCTTATTTCATTTTGTCTTCGTTATCTTTTGCCTTTCCCTGCCTCCCAAGCCCATTTCCTGCCATCATCTGATTATATATTCCTCTCAAATTAATTGACTTTTGCATCAGCAAATTAAATTGTCGCGACCCAGAATCTTTTACGCTCCGCCACAAAACCAAAACCGAAACCAACCCAGCCAAAAACCCGCTTTTAACTCAAACCAAATTGTGAACCCATCGGTAAGTTTCCTTCAGTGAATCTGCTTCTTCATTCCATGGCCGTAGGATATTTTTGCATAAAATCCTCTGTGCTGCGAGCGATTTTTAATTTGAATTAAAAATGCATCATTGCGTTGATTTTAATGCACACACAATTAAAACGGCAAGTCAGGAAATTGCCAAATGCATTTAAAAGCCATGAGAAAATCCAAATGCGAAAATCAATGAGCAATTGTGAATGCAAATTGGAAAAATCGGAGGCGCGGGAGTGAAAAGTGGAGAGCAAAACAAGACAGCAGCACACAAAAAATCGAGCGTTCAAATTAAATGAACTGAATGCAAATCAAACTAATGCAGAGTTGACAACATACGCACATTTCACCCCTCTGCGTTTCGCCGAGGAAAAGCTGAAAAGTTTCGCCTGCTAATCGCTAATTGCTTTTAAAGACAGAGCGGGGAAAATGCGAAAAGTCTGGGGGTTGGAACTGTAATTGTCGCGCTTTTCAAAATGCGCAATTTGCAATGCAAATGTCAAGCATTAGTTTGCCAGCGAACGCCCGCTGTCAACAGATGGCGCCACCGCCAAATGAAAATACTTTTATGGCCCGCAGTGTATGTGTACAGTGCGGGGTGAGATGGCGGATCAAGCTGGCAATGTTTGGCAACAGCTTAGCGCACAATCAATTAAACTGGTTTATTGACACTTTTCCTCTGACAAAGACACACACACACTTGACATCAGCACACATCGCAGTGGAAAATTCTTTGAGGAGATAGAGAAAAGTCTCTTAAGACTTACGAACACCCTCAATCGAATAAGAAAACAATTATTTTATACTTTTCAGATATTTTACTTTTGTAAATCTTTAAAGTTGCAGAAATCAATTTATTATTAGTGTTATTAATATCTTATATACATGCAACATTCTTATTTTTAGCTTCTAATTCCACACAGCCTTCCCATAAAAACGATTTCTTCTAAATATATGTATGTAAACACCACACTTCTAGGACTTTTAGCACACCCTCTGCTCTACAAACACTTGAAGGTCTCATAGAAAAAAAGTAAACTGTGCAATTAGTTGACTTAACTTCTTTGACATAGAATTGGCAATTTATTAAGCAGCACAAAAGGCATTCTGTCCCCGCCCCCAATTCTCACTTCTGTGCTCAAGCAAACGGAAATTGAGTGTCCTTGCACAAGGGATTTATTTATGGTTCATAGATTAAATACTAATTAACACCCAACCACACAAACGCACCCAGTGTGTTGGCATTTGATTTATGTGGGGGAGCAGCATCTCGGCCTTTTGTGCGTGTGTCCTGTAAGGATTAGACGGGCACGGTCGCTCGGAAAAGAATAAACGGGGCGTCAGAGGGCCAGAAAAACATTTGCCTGGCCCACGGACCATTGGCCATTGGCCATTGACCAAGGTCCTCCTCGACTATTATGCGTATCTCTCGCTCGCTACGCTTAATGCCATAAATTCTGCTTAAATTATTGGGGTTGGTTAACACGCTCCATTTTCATTTTTCGGGCTTCGGCTTCGGATTCGCATTTACTTTTATGCTCCTCGCTTGTTTTTGGCTCTAGCGCCCATTGTCTGTCCGTTCAAGGGGGGGCCAACTGTGGCCACCTTTAAGGTCGCATTTCGAGACGCAAATTACCATATAAATATTTTTTTATATTTCTACCAAACAATCTTTCAGGCATTGTTCGCAGTGCAATGGAGCCAAGTGGAATGGAGTGGAGTGGAGTGGAGGGTTGAGTACTGGCCTGTTAAATTTATGTGTCTGCATGTCGCGGACGCGTAAAAAACCTGCATAAGAATCAGATTCACTGCGCATTCTCTGGGTTGGGGGTGCGACGTATAATCAAGCGAGACAATGCACATAAAGTCTGCTCAACTCTTTGGAGGTCTGAGTGCGTTGATTAACGACTAACAGTCCAGTCATCCTCCCCCGCACTCAGGAAAAAAAAAAACAGCCTGCGAATTACTATTTAAAAACAAAAGTGTTCCCCAAAAATCGTTTCATGTAAAAACGCATTAATATTTTTTCTTTTTAATTGTATTTAATACACATTTTTTTTAGAGTGTGTGGCGTTTTCTGCTTGATCAACACATCTGATTATGGTATTTATCGGCCTATGCAAATGGAAAAGGAAAAATATCTCTGTGCGGACCATGATGGTTTAAGTCTACCTTGTTTTAATGCACTAATTAAATGTGCTTTAAAAGTAAATCACTTAAAAATCGTTTGCAATGTGAAATACATCATGACTGGAAGAGTCCGCAAAAATATTAATTGAATGATTTTTAATTAGCAGAAATATTAATTGAATGATTTTTAATAAACCTGTTTTCGGAAGTAAGTTTTACTGGGTAAGAGACTCGTATTCGAAGAAATATTTAAAATAATTTGACGTTAATTAAAATGCTCAGTTTGAATGTCATTCCAGCCCAAACTTTTTCAGACAATTAAATATAAATTCTTTTGCACTTTTATTGCATTAAAAAAATCATTGTGCTCACTTTCTTTTTTGGTTTATTTATACTCTGATTAATCCATTACGGCATTCCGCATGCAATTTGCTAGTAAAAAATTCGCTACTTAATCGAATTAATTAAATTTTCATATCACGCTGAAAGCCCAAATCGTGAAAGTCTACAAAAAGACCGAAACAATTTCAAGTTGAGCGCACAAAAGCCGACCGCATATCAAATATGCGTCTAGGTGGGATTGCATGTGTGGCATGTCATTAAATGCAAATTTATTTAAATTTCATTATTGAATATAATCAGCGTGCAGTTCTGAAATCGTTTCGGTAATCGCAGCCAGAAAACTGTTTGAATGTTTTCGCTTGGCACCAATTAAATCCGAAAATTGTTACACACAAAAGGGTGCACACCCCCGCTGCGTGTGTATGTGTGCGTGTGTGGAAATGCAAATATCCGCAATTAAGCAATAATAATAAGCATCATTAATAAATCATTGCCAGCGAGCAACAAAAAGTGAAATATATGAATAAATTAAATGGCTCGGGCAGTCCGCAAAGAGTATTAAAGTGGCAAGAGAGCCATTGACAGTTGCTGTGTCCTCATGTGTGAGCTCCTTCCTTTGTGGTCCGCCGTCGAGTATTGCAATTAACGGAAAGTTCTGATTTAAATCTTTTAAATCTTTCAATCCAGCTTGTGCTTTAATATGTGAAAAAAACCTTTCTGCTTTAAAAAGTAGTAGAAAAAGAGCATTTTTGGAACCATTACATAGTTAAGTGGAGCCAAAACTAGTCAGAAAATAAAGTACATTGGTATGATGGGATATATTATTTAAGTCCACTTAAATAAGAATTTTTTAATTTGGTATCCAATATTCTGATTATCCTTAGAGCTTAAAATTATAGTATATATCTTTTAAAATATTGTATTATTTTAAAGTGACTAATTCTCTGTACACCTTTTTGATGTATCTTTATACGAAACCACTACAAATTTAAATTTAAAATAAAATTTAAGGAAAGGTTTGCCATGCCTTAAAGAAAAACTGTCTTGGGAGCTTTCAATTGCCTGCCGATATTTCAATTTTCCCCTAAAAAGCCATAACTCATCGAGCACGACAGTTGGCTTTGGTTCTGTATAGACTTAACCCTCCGAAGCAGTTTCGCATCGCCCTTTTCCCCCCAAAACGAAAAGCAATTAAAACGGTTTCCTCTTCGTGGCTTGTTTTGGGGGATTCCCCGTTCATCTGACCGCTTAAACACTTGACACTACAACTACGAGTTACGTTTTCCTGTCTCCTGGTCGCGTATAAAAGTTGCCACATTCCTTCTGGACACTCTCGTAAATTTCGAAATGGACGTTTTTATGTGTGTTTGGCAGCGCGGGCACTTCAAATAATTTCAGTGCACAAAAATTTATTGCAATTTTGGTAATGAGTGTGCTGCTCGAAAAGGAGTTGCAGTCCGTGGAAAATGAAGAAAAAAGTCCTTGCAGGACCTTAGCTTCTTCCTTAATGCTGTTAGTGTTTGCCTGGCGGTTTTCCTGCTTGTTTGTTTGCCTGTGCGTCGGTTTTCTTGTTTGAACTTTGTGGCATTTCCGTTGCATTTCTTTTGTGCTTGTTTGCCAGCGGAAACGGAAGTTTTTAATGTTGCCCATTGGTCGTAAGTTCGCGTGGATAGTGCTCAAACGTTTTGCCGGCATTGTTTTCGCTTAAAATTAAATGCTTTTCCCATTGCCAGATACTTGACTGAATGCTTTAAAGGCCCAACGCAGTGCAGAGAGCCAACAAAAGCGCATTGCGATGTTTTATTTTTGTGTAAAAGTTTTGTACAAGCGCGGCTGCCCGCATTTCTGTTGTTCCCTCATATGGTAAAAGGCCTATCCGCAGCGCAGGAGCCACAGTCCAAGATAAACATACTCAAACAGTATGAGGCACTCGGAAAAAAACGGTCAACTATATGTTAATATTGTATAGGATAAAATATCAAAAAATTTGGGATTTTTGGAATTTAATAAAGTAGTTTTTATTATTTGCAATATGTATATAACCAAAACATGTATTAGTTGTAACGTCAACCAATCTGTAGCACTACAAATATTTAAATAATAATATTTATTTTATATT